CATGCGTAGACTGCTGCGTAGATCTACGGAACGGTCTACGAATTTGTCGACGATTCGACAAGCAGATCGAATTGTGGGTTTTGGTCGATTAATCGTGTAGTCGACTCTCGGTGATCGGTGAAGTGGTCAGCGTATTAGGCCCGCGTGGCATAACGGAGCGATGATTTCACGGCGTGCCCCCCCCAGAGGTTCAGGCCGTCTCATTGGGGCTTGGCTCTTCCCCAAACCAACCCGTTGACCGCTCCAGGGCTTGGGCGGCATTGCCCGAATGGCCGAAATTTGTTAAGTAACCTTCCGTTGGGTTTTTCCCCCGACCCGCGGAGGTTAGGAACAGCCCGGTGCGCAACTCTGGGTGCGCGAAATAGGAGAGGACAAACAACCACCATGGCTATTAAAAAAACGGAGGTCCGTGCGATTTTCTCACGTCGGCACTGGGCCCCCTGGCGACGCCTCCGGCGTCGCCCGTGGCCAGCACCGATCCAAGAAACCCGCGCGGACGTGCGAAAATGAATGTCTGCTTGGTTTTCTGGCCAATCGAAGGATCGGAAATGAAAGACGCATCAAAAAAGATGAAGAGACTCCTCCCGAGCGAGGCCGAGGATCCACACAAGTCCGAAGAGACCCCCGACGCCACGCTTTTTTTTCACTACGTGAAACTCCTGAGAGGTGGACCGCTTCCCAAGGCCAGGTTTCCTCCTCCGCCTCCTCCCCCTGTTCCTCCTCGTCATCATCATCAACAGCTTCAATTGCTTCATGCGGCGCGGTCTCAACACAAACCACAACATAACCGGGGCCTCGGAGCATCGCAGTAGCGAGCGGATACTGCAAGCTCCGGTGCCTGGCCACTCGGGTCCAGGCCTGGGCCCAGGGCGCAGGGCGGCCCACCCCCGTCGGCGCGCAGCAAGACGGGCGCCCCGTTTTTGGAGGCCTGGAAATTGGCACCAACACCAGCACAGGGGGTTGCCTCCACATGGGGATGATGATCCTAGATTTCGGTGTTGGTGGCAATATTTCGGTCACCTTGGAAGCCCAATATGACCACCATCGCCGAGATCGGGATCGTCTTCGTTCGGTGGAGGCACGCCGCCGATCTTGGTGTTGGCGTCGGCCTCTAGGCCCGCGACGTTTCGGAAGACCGCCCCCGTCTGTCGAGCTCCGGTCGCCTCGTAGGCGGCCCCCCGCAGGGCAGGGCAGCGGGCCGCGAAGGCTTCCGACGCACACCCGCCCCACGAAGTGCCCAGCGCCCATTATACTCCTGGTTGGCTGCTCCTTCCCTTGCCCCGCCCTGCCCTGGCCTCGACCGCGCCCCGCCCCCCCACCCTGCCCCCTAGTCTGCGAATTAGCCCTAGGCTGGATCGCCGCCTGGACCTGGGGAAGGAGAGGGGACATGTGGGTCTGAAGCCCAATGTTTTCCTCGAGCACACTGGCAGGAAGCGCGCTCCATTCAATCAGTTCTCTCAGCCTCTCACTCCCTTAGAGGCGTCCTCTCATTTCGCCTTTCCCGCGACCACCGCCAGGCACCTGGGCGTTTCCCGTTCGAGTGGCCCTCTCGGCGCCGCGCCCGCTAGCTCGCTGCCCACCCCCATGTCCTTCGCGAAGGCCCACGGCGTCTGGCCAATCGCCGACCCCGCCCGTTGCCAGCTGAGCGCCATCGCCAGCGCTCCATACTTGCCGCCCTTCTCCTCCGAGGCCCTGCTCTTGCGGTGGCGGAACTGGAGGCAGTCCTCATCTTGCTGCCCCCGCGTCTTCAGCAGCACCTGATCCTTCCAACGCTGCGCCAAAATCCAATGTAAAGTCTCGTTCGGCATCTTTCTCGTCGCGGACGTCTGGCGGAAGGTCGAACGCACTGAATTTGTGAGAAACTGGGTGCGAGGTCTGCCCCGCGCCTTGGAGTCCACCTGCTCGCCCTTGCCCTTCTTGACCTACAGCCCCTTGCACCGTGCGTCGCGCCCCTGCCCGCCTATCGCTAGCTCCGCTCCCGACGTGCCCCCTGCCTCGCTGACGGCGACGCGGTCGTAGAGGCGCGCTTCGACCGCCGCCATTTGCCTCGCCGTGGCCATGGAGAGCTCCGCCGTCGCTTTGCACAGGTCCACTATGCCGCTGTCGCCCTTGCCCCCGCCGCCCTTGGCCTCCAGCTACTTCTGCGTCATCTCCTTGGGCGGATGCGCCCCCGATCCATGGGTTGCCGTCGCGCCCGCGCCCCTCTTCATCCAGCTGGGCAACTCGAGGTCCTCGACGCTTGCCGCCGATCGGCTGCCCGTGTCCCTCCGCGGCGATGCGCCAAAGGAGATGGCTTTGAGCCGCGATGTCTCCTGAAATCGCCCCAGCCGGCCCCGTCGACACCGCGCTGTTGTCAAGCGAAAGGGCTCGGCACAAAGAATGGGCGAATGACTCGACTTTCGCATCTCCCACACCACCCTTTCTGGAGACTTCTTCCGATATGTTTCGCCGTCGAGATCTGCCCAGCAACGACCATCGCACATGCAATGCACTGGTTGCATGTTTGTCAGGAGATGGCAGAGGTTGCGATCGTCACGCGCGCTGCGCTGGCGGCGAAGCAACTGCCTCCGAGTGGCAAAGCGGGCCTCGCACCTACTTCTGCCCTCGAGCTGGGCCCCGCATGCGTCCCTGAGCGCGTTCCCTCCCCCCTGTCTCCGACCCCGCGTGTTTCTGTTCCGGGCCCCTCGAGTCCAGGTGGAGGGGCCGACAGCGCGCACTTGCTCGCCCGAACCCAAACGAGGTCCAACTTCACGAACTGTTTGGCCAAACCCCTATCCGCATCCAGCTTCCAGGGGGCTCTGCCCAGCTCCTCCAGCAACCCCGCGTCGTCCTCCATTGCGTTGGTCGCCTCGCTGGTATCCGCTCCTGCTCTTCGCGCCCATGGTTGAGCCGACTCTGACAGCCCCTCCTCCGCGTAGGGAGGGGGTCGTTGTGGTTGCCTCGCAGGTCCGCGGGCAGCGTAAACCGACATTGGGCATGGTGCTATGGTCGCCGCGCCCAGGTCTGGCACCACCTCAACCTGCGCACCAAGCGCTCGGCCCTCGTGTCCCCCAACCTCCAGTACGCCAACGCCTGTTCCGTCGCCGTGCTCTTCACGCTGCCGCACTCGAACCACCTAGTCGTTCCTCCTGCCATCGCGGCGCGCCCAAGCCTCGCCAGGCTCATGTCCAGACTCTTGTGCTGCGTCGCCGACAAGAAGACGCACTCAATCTCCGACACGATCGCGCCCATCACCGCGCTCAGGAAGACCACCCGCTTCCACCTCCATGGAGTAACCAGGTCCCAACACGCGCCCATCGCGTAGAAGGCCTCTTCGCTGCTTCACACCTCCTCGGGATCCCGAACTCCGCCGTGCACGTCGTGATGAAAAAGGCCCAAGTACCTTGCCACGTCGGTCAGCTCTCCTTGGATGCCGTCCTCGCCGAACCCTCTGGTCTTACGCCGCTGCCTGCATGCCGTGGAGCCACTTCTTTGTACCAACATGCTGGTCACCTGCTTGCACGTGTTCTGCCGCAGCCCCAACTCGTTAAGCACTGCGTCCAGTGCGCCGTCCGCCTCCCGCAGCCTCTGCAGCATTCCCTTCAGCGTCGTCACTATCTCCAACAAGTCGTCTCAGCTCAGGTCGTCCGCGTACTGGTGGACCCCTTAAGTCGATGCCAGGCAAGCCCTCCCACTCACACACGAGTAAATTCGCCGCGTGCTGCATCTTCCGAAGAAGAGTGGCGCACTTCTCCGTCGGCACCGCGAAGGCCGTGGCGAAGGCGTCCACGCTGAAAGGGTCCCCATCATCAGGCCGTCTCCAATCTTAACCGTGTGGGCCCCCGCGGGCGTCGGCAGGTTGATGACCATGTCTCTGTGACGCTGCTTGCAGAGCACCTCGTCCTGCCAGTCTGTGTCCTGCGCCGCCGCTTGATCCAGCGACTGCCAGCTCACCGATCCGAAAGCATTCTGGAGACCTTCATGGTGACTGCAAAGCTCCACCTTCCGTACTCCAGTCTCCAACTCAACACCTCTCCAACACAACGAAGACGACCGACCGAAAAGAGAGGAGGAATGGCCTGCGACGTTTCGGCTCAAATCACAAGCACAAGACTACCAAGACGAAGATAACGACGACTACGTCCACCCCGTCCCTGCCTGATCTCACTGCTATTGCTACTACGGTCACCAATGCCAGTACTACATCTGTTGCTGCCCTGCCCACGCTTGAATACTGTTTGAAGTCCGCGCGCGCGTGCGCGCGAAGGCATGCTGGCTCATGCAAGTGCAGCAGTAGCCTGCGAGGAACTGCAGGCGCTGCGGCCGGGCTTTGCTCCGAGACTGTACTGCACGCGGACACTCCAGCAGTGCCGGGGGCGCACCAGGGGAGGGGGGGGGCTACTTCCTCGGGGGGGAGGGGAGAGAGGGCGTGGCACGACGCGCTCGGTGGGCCGGATGGCTGAACAACCCTCGGGGATGGACAGACCCCCCTTTAGCAAAACGTGGTTTAGTGAAAACGACCTCGGGAACAAACCTGGCGGGCGCAAGCCTGGAAAACGACGGCCGCGGCGCCCTCTGGAGAACCGAAGACGGACAATTCACTAATCGACGTGTCAGGGCAGGAGGCCTGTCCACCCCCGAAGCCCTCTCGGGGCGGACGGGCCTTCTGGATGCTCTTCTGCATCGCCCCCAGCTCCCACATCTCCGCCTCCGCGCGCGCCAGGTCCTCGGAGAGCGGGCGCGCGGGGGGGGCCGCCGAGGGCGGACCGTCGTCGTCGTCGTCGCTCCTCTGGGGCCTGGGCAGAGTGTTGGCGGCGCGCACAAGGGGGTAGGGGGAGGGGGGAAGGCTTCTTGGAAGGAGGCTGCTTCTTAGAACGCGCCGGCCTTACGTCTACAGAGAAGGCCCGCGCCTTCTAAGAAGCAGGGGTGCTTCTAAGAAGCCTTCCCCCCTCCCCCATACCCCCTTCTGCGCGTGGCCAGGAGTGGGTGTGTCGGCGGGGGATAAGCCTGACTTTATCGAACCTCCCCTTAGTGAAAACGGCCTGGGACCGAAACCGACAAACTGGGACCCGCAACAAGGACGGCCGCGAGGCCCTCTCGCGAACCGAGAACGGCCAATTCCTCAGTCGACGTGTCAGGGTAGGAGGTCTATCCACCTCCGAGTGTGGGTGTACGGGTGCCGTCGTCCAGCTGGAGCCCATGCGGAGGTCCGGGGGCCCGGAGGCCGCCCACGGAGAGCAGAGGAGGCTACCGGGAGGATCACATCGCGCCGCATCGGCGCTGCATCGGCGACGTCCGGACTGACAAAACAGTGTTCTGGGTCGCGCCACGTTCTCTGAGCATCGGCGATGCGGCGCGGTCCTCCGACCCCCTCTGCTACTCCAGCCAGTGACCACGTCTGGAGGTACCGGAATCACGAAAAGAAGGCAACTGTCATGCGTGTCGAGCGAGGACGTGGAGGTCTGGCACTTTGGTAGCGACGCCAGGGGAGTGCTCGTGAACACGATAGAGAATCACTTAGTAAGATCCAAAGAGCTGCTCAGTCGAACCAGGCCTTATAAATGAAGTAGGGTTAGACCAGGTCAAGCCATGGCGGGCAATCCCACAGCCGGCGGCGAATCCCACCAGCTCTTTGGGCGTGAGTGGTTTAGAGAGCTCTCTCTGTCCTCAACCCCCCAACCCCCCTTCTTCCCCTTCGGGGAGGGGTTTACCCCTCCCCCTCCCCCCTCCCCCTGGGCCTGGAGAGGGAGTTCCGCGGGTCGTTGGAGGGGTCTTTTTCGACTCCTGGGAGGGCTAAAAAACGACGACCCTCACGAGGATTCTGGCCCCGACGGGGGGACGCTAAAAAAAACCCTCTCCTCTTCTTTGAAGCCAAAATCATTGATTTTACTACGGTTTCGGCCCCATCTTGGCCTTCTAAGGGGGCAGCGCTCCCCTTCCTTCATAGCAAACTCATTGATTTTACTAAGGTTTTGGCCTCATTTTGTCCTTCTCAGGGGGCAGCGCTCACTTGCGCTTCTGAGGAGGTCGCAAGAGGCCCCAAGATGGCCCCAAGAGGCCCCCAGGAGTCTCCCAAGAGGCCCCCTAGAGGCCCCCAAGAGGCCCCCAAGAGGCCCCAAGAGGCCCCCAAGAGGCCCCCAAGAGGCCCCCAAGAGGCCCCAAGAGGCCCCAAGAGGCCCCCAAGAGGCCCCCAAGAGGCCCCCAAGAGGCCCCCAAGAGGCCCCACGAGGAGCCCGAACGACTCACACCAGGACGAGGGGCCCGAACGACTCACACCACGAAGAGCCCGAACGACTCACACCACAAGGAGGGGCCCGAACGACTCACACCAGGACGAGGCGCCCGAACGACTCACACCACGAGGAGCCCGAACGACTCACACCACGACGCGGGCCCCGAACGACTCACACCACGAGGAGCCCGAACGAGTCACACCAGGAGGAGGGGCCCGAACGACTCACACCAGGACGAGGGGCCCGAACAACTCACACCACGAGAAGCCCGAACGACTCACACCAGGACGAAGAGCCCGAACGACTCACACCACGAAGAGCCCGAACGACTCACACCAGGAAGAAGGGCCCGAACGACTCACACCAGGACGAGAAACCCCAAACGACTCAAATCACGAGGAGCGCTTTCTCTCCCTCCTCCTCCGCCTCGTCCTTCTCCCGCTCCCCCCACAAGGAGGATGTACAAGGAGGCGGGAGGAAGGAGGAACAGGGGAGATATGCGGGCCCAAGCGGACACACGCCTGAAAAACACGACTGTCGGCATGCTTCGCAAGAGTTGCTGCTGTGAGATGGGCTGGTGGGGATACGCGAAGCGTAAAGAATTCAACTTCCCAAAAGTTGCAACCGCATGGGACGGATATGTTGGCCTGGTTTATCTGGGTCCGAGCGACCAGGGTTCGGCCACGTGGGGCATCAACTGGAAGGTCAAGAACTCGAGCTGAAGAATGTGGAGATAACTGGGCCGATAACGAATTCAGCCTACCACTCACAGAGTTGCAACCTCATGGGAGGGAACTCATGGCCTGGATGGTTTTGTTGTCATCCCCGCTCAACTTCCCCTGCAACACGTCGGCGATGCGGCTGACAATCCGGTACGACACCTGGCGCCATCCGTCCACCCGTCAGCACACGCACTTCGCTCATCCTTATCACCACGCGAGGAGGACCAGCAGGAGGAGGAGGAGGAGGAGGAGGACGACAAGGCAGAGACGTGCATCTGAGGGTGTTAGACCCTGCTGGGCAAGACAGTTTCCAGGGAGGTCCCCGACATCCCTGGAGGACCCAAGAAGACCCCCCCAGTGGCTCGCAAAGCATGCGCCATTTGGGCCGTGGGCAAGAAGTCAAAGCCAGCAGTCGCGAACGAAAGTGGGCAAAACGCTACCCAGCTAAACAGAGCAAGAGAAAAATGAGGCGGACGTTGAGGAGGGGAAAGCTGGAGGACCGCCGAGGAGGTTGAGGTAGGGGCATGCTTCCCGCTCCTCCTCCTCCTTCTCCTCCTCCTCCTCCTTCTCCTCGCCCTCCCCCCTAGCACCCTCTCTTCGTGCACATTATCCCCCTCCGCGTCATACTCGTCCTCATCGTCCTCCTCTTGCACTAACGAACTGTCGTCCCGCACAGCTCTTTCTAGCACCCCTCCACGTCCTGCTTGGCCTGGCCCCGCCATCTCCCTCCCTCCCGTCCCGTGCCTTCCTCCGTCAACCCTCCACACATTCCCCCATCTCGCCCCCGCCACGACCTCCTCCCCATCGGTCTCCCAATTCGCCCCCTCGCCCCCAAAAAGGCCCCCCACCTGCCGCCCTCCCCCCCTCCCTCCCGCCCCCTTCTCCTCCTGTTACTTCCGGCTCTCCTACTCTTCCTCCTCCTCCTCCTTTTCCTCCTCCTTTTTCTCCTCCTCCTCCTCCCCCTCCTCCTCCTCCTCCTCCTTTTCCTCCTCATTACTCAAGTTCTTTTTTCCCGATCTCGTTCAGCGCGTTCCCATGTTCATCCCCCCCTCATTCCAGATTCCCCCTCCTTCGTCTTCTTTCCCCTGGCCCACCCGTCCTGCTCCTCCTCACCTCATCCACCTCCTCCTTTCCATGAGGTCGGACCCCGAGTGCGAAACCATTTGCGCTGAGCAATAAAAGGAGGAGGAGGAGGATGAGGAGGAGGAGGAGGAGGAGGAGGAGCTTTCAGGGCTTTCCGCCTCTCGCAGGTGCGAGTCTGGCCCCGCGCTCCCGCGCGCGGGGCTCCGCTCAAGGGCCGCGGGCCTGGGCCCCGCCCTTTCTCCGAGCGCGTCTGGCGGAGGCGCTCGGAGCCGTCTACATGGGCCGCGCCCTGAGGCCGCCCTTTCTCCGCGCGCATCTTGCGGAGGCGCGCGGAGCCTTGGCAAGCCGACTTGGCGAGCTGCGGCCTCTGCAGGTGGGAGCGGGCCCACGCGCGTGGGCGCGTGGGCCCTCGGGGTCGGCCTCCCTCTCGCCGTCGGGCTGGCCGAAGCGGTTCGCGTCGTCGTAGCGCCCGTGCCCTCTTCGAGGGCCACCCCCGACGTGGGGGGGCCCGAGGGTGGGCCTCCTCGACCTGCTCCAGCTTCAGGTGCGTGGTGCGGTGGGTGAGCAGGCCGAGGGTCCTCGCCAGCCTGGAGGAGCGGCGCCTCGTCCTCCTCGATGGCGCGTGAGCTTCGTATCTGCATCATGATGGCCTGCTGCAGGAGGGCGTTCGTGTCGGGGAGCTGTAGTCGGCTTCTCCTTCTGCCGGTTGCACTCGCTGCCGCCACTCGTGGTCTGCATCTGGCCGTGGGACTGGTGCTCTGGGTCGAACATGTGCCCAACCCCGAGGAGCGGGCCAGTTGGGCATTCATACCTTGTCCAGGGCCGCGCCCTGAGGCCGCCCTTTCTCCGCGCGCGTCTTGCGGAGGCGCGCGGAGCCGTGGTTCACCTTCTGGTCGTGCTGTTGATTCCCCTGGAGGTGGCGGGCCCACGCGTAGTGGCGCGTGGGCCCTCGGGGTCGGACCTGCTCTCGCCGTTGGGCTGGCCGAACGGGTTCGCGTCGTCGTAGCGCCCGAGCTCTCTCCTGAGGTCTCCCCTGATGTGTGGGTGCCCGAGGGTGAGTCTCCTCGATTTGCTTCAGCTTCAGGCTCTGGCTCAGGAGGGTGAGCAGGCCGCGGGTCTTCATCTATTCGGAGGAGCGGCTCTTCATCCTCCTCGATGGCGCGGGTACTTCGTATTTGCATCATGATGGCCTGCTGCAGGAGCGCTCTCGTGTCTGGGAGTTGAGTACGGCTTCTCCTTCTTCTGGTTGCTCTCTCCGCTGCCGCTCGTGAGCTGTGAGTGGTCTCTGCGTTCTGACTCCCCAGGTGGTCGATACCCTCTACCCTCGATGGCCCTTGGGCTGCGGGCGAGCAGTGCGTGCCACCTGAGGCAGATCCAGCAGCATGGCGACGACTGGGCATCTGCGATGCAGCGTTCTGACTCCCCAGGTGGTCGGTACCCTCAACCCTCAACGGCCTTTCGGCTGCGGGCGAGCAGTGCGTGCCACCTGGGGCAGGTCCAGCAGCGTGGCGACGTATGAGCGTCTGCGATGCTGGACTGGTACTCTGCGTCGCACATGTGCCCAACCCCGAGGAGCGGGCCAGTTGGGCATGCTCGGTATCTGCATCACGCTCATCCACAGTCCCCTCAGACTTCTCCTCCGCTGCCTTCTTGAGCCAGTTTAGTAATTTGTATTTGAGGCTGTTGTACGTCGGCTTTCCTTTGCACTCACTCCTCATCTTGTCCGATATATATTCCGTGGAGAACCAACGCTTCTCAGCACGCAGGAAGATGAGAGGGTGCGATGCGTGTGTGGTCATTCCATTTTGTTTTAGCTCCGTGCCTTCCTTGGGTGGCGGCCCTTGGCAGCCGCCCCCAAACCACTTCGCGAGTGTCTGGAAGGGGGTGTGCTTGTCGATCTTCTGTTCACAGCACGTGCACTTCCACCCTTTACCTTTTCTTGGGCGTATGAGTCGGTGCGTGGTCGGTGGCCTTCTCCCAACTGGTGCCGGTGGTCCGTCCGCCAGGTAATCTCGTCGCCGTCGTATTTGTTTGTTCGCCTCTTGTCGCTGTTGACTTCTCTGTGCCCGTACTTCGTGTCCGTCGGCTGGCCGTCGTTGTATGAGGTCTTTGGTTGCTGCAATAATTCTTCGCCGTACTAGGGCTGCCGTCGAGTTGACCCATTCGTAGCAACCCATCTGCGCGGAGTCTATGTCGTGGTTCTCTGCGGCTGCGTCGGCGAAGCGATCTGCTTGGCTGTTACCATACCAAGCATGTCGAGGGAACCCTTTAGCCTCCGCATCCTCCCAGGAGAGGTGGCTGTTGATGTGGTGTAGCTGAATACTTTCCACTCCGCCCCGCATCTCCAGCTCCTGCCCGATCTGCTGCCACAGGTCGCCGTTGGTGCCGACTTCGCCGCATTTCTCGAACCTTCTGTTGTGCCAGCCTTTATACACCACCTCGCTGTCCGTCCAGAAGTGTAGCGCCCCTGCCGTGCTACGTAAACAACTGAGAAGGGCCCTCAGCTCCGCTCTATTGTTGGTTTGGCGGCGGCCTGGGAGGGGTCCAAATTGTCCAGCTGCGAGTTCGTAGCCGTCACCTTGCTGCCGTAGTCGTACCCATGCCCAGCCACACCGCCTGCATCGCCAATCTGCGCTGTTCTTCCCACCAGATCCATCTCCGTACGCTACGATCGGGGAGCCGTCCTCCGTGGTGATGCGCCCTTCTTGGAGGCACTCGCCCATGTTGTTGGCCTGCTCCTCCGTGTCGCAATCTGGTGGTACTGACCATGCCCGTGGGGTTATACCCCTCAGCCAAAACGCAGGTACTGCTTCGTGCCCAGCTTCCGCCCTAGTCTTTAGTCGGTCGGTGGTGTCGAAGGCTCTGTCACATGTCCGTGCATCACATTGTCCCCATATTCTGTGGTAATCCGTCTCTTCGCGTCCGCATTCACATTGTGCCGATCCTTTTCCAAAGCATGCTCTCTTCCTAGCTCTTGCCCATGTCCCTGCACACGTCGCGATCAGGAGCGCACCGTACTCTTGGTAATCGCCCCGTCGCAGAAGCCATTCAAGATGTTTCCTGAGGTCTGTGATATCTGCACCACTATGCTCGAGGCCTCCTCCGTTGTGGTGTTCTGCTGCTTTACGCCATAGAAGTAAGGATACGTCCATCATCAGCGCGTCCAGGATGTCGGTTGGGTCACCCTGCTCGCCGTGTAGGGGGAACTTCCATTGGTTTCCTTCACTGTCCAGCCAGATGTCGGGCCCTCGTGAGTCCCATCCGATCTCCCACAATGTCAGGATGAGTGATGCCACAGGTCCACGCCTCTGTCGCCATCTTTTGTGTTCTGGCAGTCGGAGTAGTCGAAAGTATATTCTCGGCCATGCTCGTCTTACTTGCTCGCGGAGGTCGGGACTGTGGCTCCAGCAACTGAACCAATGGCTGAATTGGCCCTTCATGATCGTGTAGGCTGGGTCCGTACCTTCAACTGCTAAGTATGTAGTTAGACGACGCCCTGGCCATGGTCTTCTGAGCGCTTGTGCATATCGTCGCCGTGCGAGTTGGAGAGCTGTCGGAGCCATGCCGTGGAATGCCGTACCGTACTTTACTGATGCCACGGCTCCCTGCTGTGTGATTCCTGCTCGCTTGCGTACTCGTAGTCTTCGTAGTTTCCTGCCGACCGCTCCAAGCCGTCTTCTCACTCCTTTCCAGCGTGCTCCGTGAGTCGGTCTGGTGGAGGTGCCTCGTACAGCTCTGTCCGCGCCCAGATCTCGACCTTCGGTGTTGATCTTGATGGTCACGTTTGCCGTCTCGAGCTGCTTCTGAATCTTCTTAGCGTCGTTGTAGCTTGTTGCTCGCAACGTAGTTTTATCTGCCAATTTTAGCCATTGTTCCCCCAGTGCCAGGAATAGTGCCTTTGTGCTCACAACCGTGGCCGTGATGATCTGTCTTCTGCTGCCCACAATGCGTATACTGATATCGTCGAACCATGCCCGCGGGATAGGTCGAGGCAAGCACGTGGTGCCTGTGAGCTTTGCCATGGCTGCGTATACCACCGTCTTGGCCACGTTGTTCGCATGTCTGGAGCCTGCTAA